TAGACTTCTTTGAAACATTCTCGCCCACGGCCAAGCTCCCGACTGTGCGCGCTCTTCTTGATATAGCCGCTCGCGGCAACTTCGAGATCAAGTCCATGGACGCCTCCTCCGCCTTTCTCCAAGGCCAGCTCAAGGAGGATGTTCACATGGAACACCCACCGGGGTTTCCTGGCACTTACCCTGCCAACACAGTATGGAAGCTGAAGCGCCCAGTGTATGGCCTCAAGCAGGCTCCTCGTGAGTGGCACAACAAGGTGAAGGAAGTCCTCCTCGCACTTGACTTCCATCCCTCTGCCTCAGATTCCAGTCTCTTCGTTCGTCACTCCTCCGAGCCCTTCTACATCCTCGTCTACGTCGACGACTTCATTCTAGCCGCCAGAGATCCAGCCGACATAGCAGCTGTCCAGTCTGCTCTCAGCTCCGCCCTACTCATAAAGGATCTTGGTGACCTCAAGAACTACCTTGGGATGGAGATCACTCGTGACCGCCAGGCTTGCACGATCACCCTTTCCCAGGAGTCCTACATCGACAACCTTCTCAAGCGGTTCGACATGGACTCCAGTAACTCTGTCTCCACTCCACTCCCACTACAACATCACCTCACGGACCCTCCAATTCCTTCTCCTGACGCCTGCAAGGACCCGTACCCTGAGCTCGCCAGTTCACTCATGTATGCCACCATCGTCTCTCAACCAGTTCACTCATCGTCGACCACCTTCGCGCTCGACCTCGTTGAATTTCTCATCTCTGAAGCGTTCACGCTTCTCGTCGTCGATTTCCTACTCGGTTCTCCTTGGTCGAATCTCAATTTCGACCATCTCTTAAAACTCGTTCTCGAGTTTCCCCTCAGACCCCGCCAGAATAGGCGAACTCCCCTCGCGAAATCGCCTCCACGAACGTCTCGCGTCAAGCAAGAGCAGGTACACAGGTTGAAGCGGAGTGGAGCTGGTTGCGGAGCTGGTTGCAGAGCTGGTTGCGGAGCTGTGTAGCTGCGAGACAGGGCCTGGGGGTGTGTGGGGGGGTGTGTGGGTCCGGGGTTAGACATAGGCTCAGATTCAGTTTCAAGTCGGCGTTTTAACCAATTTTTGCCGACGCCATTTCCTACTTAGCGGCATTTTGATAAAGCCGTCAGAGTGATTTTCAGCAATTCTCGTCGACCAATTTCCAGAAGTGCCGCGCTGCACACCGACAATGGCTTACTATAAGAAATAGAGTTGAAATGATTGATTAGGTAAGGAGCCCAAGGCTCTATAAGTACATGGCAAGGTGAGAGAGAATGGATGAAGGGGGAATTGGAGGGAATCCCCATTGGGATCTCCGGAATCTTCAATTGGGTAATTGGAGATTGTGGGGATCACAATTGGGTGAGGTTGGGATTTGTGAATACACCCCAACCCACTAGAACATTCACAACCTAAACTAGGATATAAAAGTACAAATACAAAAGTGGTATTTGCAGTCTATTTCTAACACACCCCCATAGACTGCAAACCCGGTCAAGGAGCACATAGCCCCATGGAACGGAGAAGGCGATAGTGGTCAGCCTTGCTGAGAGCCTTGGTAAAGAGGTCGGCGAGGTTGCAATCTGAGGCGATGTACCGTACCGTCAGCTGGTCGCTCTGAACAAGATCTCGGATGAAGAAATGACGAAGTTCGATGTGCGTGGTGCGAGAGTGGAATTCAGGATCCTTGGTGAGATGAATGGCACTCTGGTTGTCACACCACAGGGTGGGCGACTGCTGGGGGTAGCCTAACTCAGCGAGGAGAAAGGAGAGCCAGCGTGCCTCTTGAGCAGCCATTGTGCCCGCGTAGAGCTCGGCCTCGCAGGACGACAGGGAGACTGCAGAGGACCGAGTGGAGCGCCAGCTGATGACTCCGCTACCAAGGGTGAAGCAGTACCCTTGGGAGGAGCGTCTGTCAGTCTGGTCATCGGCCCATGAGGAGTCTGTGTATCCCTCGAGCATAACTCGAGAGGCACCACCAAGAGTGAGGATGTGAGACTTGGTGGCTTCTAGATAGCGGAGGACCCTCTTGGCTGCAGACCAATGCGAGGCAGTGTAGCGTCCAGGGGAGACGTACCGAGAGAGGATACTAACCGGGTAAGCCAAGTCTGGTCGAGTGCACATCATGGCATACATGAGTGAACCGACTAGCTCAGGGTACGGGTCCTTGCAGGCGTCAGGAGAAGGAACTGGAGGGGCCGTGAGCTGATGCTGTAGTGGGAGTGGAGTGGAGACAGAGTTACTCGAGTCCATGTCCAACCGCTTGAGAAGGTTGTCAATGTAGGACTCTTGGGAGAGGGTGATGGTGCAAGCCTGGGGGTCACGAGTGATCTCCATCCCCAGGTAGTTCTTGAGGTCACCAAGATCCTTCATGAGAAGGGCGGAGCTGAGAGCAGACTGGACAGCTGCCATGTCGGCTGGATCTCTGGCGGCTAGAATGAAGTCGTCGACGTAGACGAGGATGTAGAAGGGCTCGGAGGAGTGACGAACGAAGAGACTGGAATCTGAGGCAGAGGGATGGAAGTCCAGTGCGAGGAGGACTTCCTTCACCTTGTTGTGCCACTCACGAGGAGCCTGCTTGAGGCCATACACTGGGCGCTTCAGCTTCCACACTGTGTTGGCAGGGTAAGTGCCAGGAAACCCCG